ATTGATGTTTTTGAATCACTATGACTGATGTTTTTGAATCACTATGACTGATGTTTTTGAATCACTATGACTGATGTTTTTGAATCACTATGATTGATGTTTTTGAATCACTATGATTGATGTTTTTGAATCACTATGATTGATGTTTTTGAATCACTATGATTGATGTTTTTGAATCACTATGATTGATGTTTTTGAATCACTATGATTGATGTTTTTGAATCACTATGACTGATGTTTTTATACGATTCTTAATTAGGATAAAACTTTTAACCATTATTAATGCTATATGTATAAATATGTGTATATATACATATACATATATACATACATACATACATACATACATACATACATACATACATACATATATATATATATATATATATATATATATATATATATATATATATATATACACAAATATTCTTTTTAAGTGTCTGCTAACAATAAGTTTAATAGAAAGCGTAAAGACAACAACGTTTTTTAATTTGGTTTTAAACAACTTTCTAATTTATTTAAAAGCGGTTCTTTGTGACAAGACCTGATGGTTATATTATAACTTGAAATATTTTTTTTTTTTATTTATAAAAAAATAAATTATTTAAAACTGTAGTTCTTTGGTAATATAAACATTATTTTATGCCTCATCAATAAAAATAAGCTTTTTTCCTTTTTTGCAATTATAACCTCATGATTTTTTTTATCTTTCGTCTTCTGATGTCCAGAGCCAAACCAAGCCAACTTTGCACTTCAAGCAAGCAAGGAAAACTGCGCGCCTATACCCATGGATGTCATGGGATAGGAGCACTTGTTGTAGAAATTTTCAAGTTCTACAACAAGATTCCCATCTTGTTGTAGAACTTGAAAACTACCTGATATAGCCGTCAAACAGGTTGATCCACTGCTTGACATCCGTATCACTCCAGCTTCTCTCTAAAGTGATTTCCTGCTTAGACTCTTTTACAGCTTGCGGCCCACACAACATACCTGTTATAGTCTTGCAGAGGTGTTCTCCAGAGCTGTCGTCTATCCTTTCAAAACTATTTAACAAGTGCTTATCAGAGTCTTCTTTTCCAGCCTGCTGGAAAGCAGCATCTGTTATCCTTATTTATAAAAATTCTTGAGAGCAATCCAATTCATCTAACTACCGTTCTATTAGTCTTCTTCCTATAATAAGCAAGGTTTTTAAATCTTTAATTAACAAACACTTAATCTCTTATCTCGAATCTCATAACCTACTTTCTGATCATCAATATGGATTTCGATCTTCTCATTCTACGGCTGATTTTCTAACAGTAATAACTTACAGGTTTTATTGCGCATTAGATAAAGGTGGAGAGGTTAAGGCCATCTCTCTTGACATTTCTAAAGCGTTTTATAAAGTTTGGCATGCTGGTCTTCTCCATAAGCTTTCTTCTTACGGTGTATCTGGAAATATCTTTAAGATTATTGAATCTTTCCTTTCCAATCGTAGTATAAATGTTGTCCTTGATGGACAGCACTCTTCTTCTTATTCTGTAAACTCAGGGGTTCCTCAAGGTTCAATCCTTGGCCCTATACTCTTTTTAATTTACATTAACGATCTTCCAGATATTCTCACATCTAAGGTGACATTGTTTGCTGATGATACTACCATGTATTCTTGTCACGATAAGAAGCCAACTCCCTCTGATTGCTTACAGGGGCATCTGAGCTTGAAAAGGATCTCACTTCTGCTACAGCATGGGGCTCACAGTGGCTGGTGAACTTTAATTCAGATAAAACTCAATTTTTTTCAGCCAATCGTTATCGCAATAATTTAGACCTTCCTATATTTATGAACGGTAATGTACTTGATGAGTCTCCTACCCTTCATCTTCTAGGATTAACTCTTACTTCTGATTTTTCTTGGAAACCTTATATCAAATCCGTTGCAAAATTAGCATCTGCTAAAGTCGCTTCTCTTTATCCAGATTGTCACTTTCTTACTCTTGATTCTATTCTCTATCTCTATAAATCTCAAATCCGGCCTTGTATGGAATACTGTTGCCATATCTGGGGCGGATCTTCTAATGATGCCCTTTCTCTTTTAGACAAGGTACAAAAACGCATTGTAAACATAGTTGGACCTGCTTTTGCAGCCAACCTTCAACCTCTGTCACATCGTCGTAATGTTGCTTCTCTTTCTCTTTTCTACAAATACTATAATGGGCATGCTCTAAAGAGCTATTGTCTCTTGTGCCATCTACTAAAATTCATTCTCGTGTTACTTGTCATTCAATTAAGTCTCACCCTTTTTCTGTTACTGTTCCTAAGTGCTCCAAAAACTCTTATTCGTCTAGTTTTTGATATAGTTGACTTGTCAACTATGTTAAGTTCAGAAAAATTCTAATGTTTTATTGACTTATGACTTCTGTTGTGTCCCGAAGGGCAAGAATGGTGTTTATTGCTATTTTCATGTTCAGGAATTCTTGGGTTTAGTTTTTTCCACTCACAAAATCCTTTTGAAATTTCTGAAAAATTGTTGGCTTTTGTTGTTAAAAAAACAAAAACAAAACAATAAATCTTTTCTATTGCTGATTAGCAACCAATGGCAAAAAAATTTTCACGATTAGATTTAATTTTTTCATACCATTTTGTAATTAAAAGTTGCATTCTGTTGTCAAAATCACACAGTGTTTTAAGAAAAATTATCTACTATCTTTATTTTTATTTTTTTTATTAATTGCATTTACTCCCAACAAGGCTGCAGCAACCACTATTAAGTTGGGAGTTACTAGAAAAAAAAAGAACAGAGTTATAGAGCAAGGAAACAGTTGACAGAAGACTTGAAAAGTTGAAGGTTGTATGAGTCAGGAAAACATGAAGATGGGAGAGAGTTTCAAAGGATTGAAGTGCGGGGAAAAAAACTAGATGATTAAAAGTTTTTAGAGCATGCAGGGACAGATACAGTAAACGAATGAGACTTAGCTGAATGACGAGTAAAACGAGAATGAATTTTAGTTGATGGAACTAGAAATGATAACTCCTTTGAGCAGTGACCATAATAGTATTTGTAGAAAAGAGAAAGAGATGCAATTTAACGACGATGTGAAAGAGGCTCAAGCTTAGCAGATAGTCCAGGTCCAACAACATTTACAATGCGTTTTTGGACCTTGTCAAGAAGAGAAAGTGAATCGTTAGAAGAACCAGCCCAAATATGACAACAGTATTCCATACAGGGATGAATAAGAGATTTGTAGAGGTAGAGAATGGAATCAGAAGTAAGGAAATGGCGAGCACGATAAAGAGAAGCAACCTTAGCAGAAGCTAATTTAGTGATCGATTGCATATATGGTTTCCATGAAAGGTCAGTAGTAAGCGATAATCCAAGAAGACGTAAAGAGGAGGACTCAGTAAGAGGATTGCCATTCATTAATATAGGAATGTTGACCATATTACGGTAGTTGTTTGCAGTAAACAACTGGGTTTTGTTAGAGTTAAAACTCACAAACCACTGTGAACCCCAATCTATTACTGAAGTGAGATCAGATTCAAGATCGGCTGCTTGTTCTAGGCGATTGAAAAGAGAAGACTTTTTGTCAAGACAGGAGTCATCAGCAAAAAGAGCTACTTTAGATGAAAGGTTGTCAGGAAGATCGTTTATGTAGATAAGAAACAAAACAGGGCCCAGGATGGAACCTTGGGGAACCCCAGAAGTTACTGGAAATAAAGAAGAGTGATGGCCTTCAAGGATGACTTTAATAAACTGGTTAGAAAGAAATGATTTGATAATCTCAAAAACTTTCCCAGAAACACCATATGAAGCAAGCTTATGGAGAAGACCAGCATGCCAAACTTTGTCGAAAGCTTTAGATATGTCGAGAGCAATAGCCCTAGCCTCACCGCCTCCACCTAATGCATGATAAAATCTTTCAGTTACAGCAGTTAGCAAGTCGGCTGTAGAGCAAGAGAATCGAAAACCATATTGATTGTCTGACAGTAGTTTATTTGACTCAAGATGAGATGTAAGGAATTTGTTGATCAAAGACTCAAAGACCTTGCTAATAACAGAAAGAAGACTGATCGGACGATAATTGGAGGGATTAGAATTTTCTCCAGAGTTTTTGAATATTGGAACCACAGATGCCATTTTCCAACAAGCAGGAAAACAATCCTATAAGCAGGATAAAAATCCTAAGGGTGAAATTAATCACTTTGTTCCACCACCAGATTTACATCTTTATTTGGAGATCTTGCTCTGACAAATGCTGAATCAATAAAAAATTTTGTCAATTACTTTTATCCAGAAGTCGATGGAATACCTGATATTTCTGAATGAAGTTCATAGTTATAAGTTTTGGAAATCAATAAATAAATTAAAAAATATATATTAACTATGTTTGTGTTAAAGGGCGCTCTTCTGTTCACTAAATAAGCATTTATAAGTTGGAGTTCATGTAAGGCGCAATATTAATTAATTTTCATATCATCATCAAAGAGCACCACATAACTATTTGTTTTCAAGTGATAATTATTTTCTCAATTTATTTTTTGGCAAATTTTGCGCCCTCTCAAGTTTGGTTGATGCCCCTAATATCTTGGTGCTCGGGACACATATGGCTCTTTTGACCCTACCTGTCGGGGGCCCTGTACATGATTTCTTCTTAATTAAAATATTTTTGGAACTGTACACTAATAGACACTAAATAAATCTAAAAAAAGTTTTTTTGAATTGTTATAGTTTTTATTATAAATTAATATATACTTATTCTTACATGAAATAAGTATATCAGTTTTTATATATTTATTGTTACAAATTTATATATTTTTATATTCTCAGGAAAAAAAAAAAGTATTCAATAAAAATTTGGCGCCTTTAAAGCTTTGGTGCCTGGGTGAAAATCACCTATTGTACCCACCTTCTGTCAGGCCAAGATACAAGATTCAATTAAAAAAAAAAAGCACTAACAATAATAAAAAAACAAAACAACCTTATTGTGCTATGAATTAAATAAAATTAAAATAAAAAAACATACCTGTATGCATGCCAATTCTTAACTGCATCTGAGTGTCAGGGCGATGACGAATTTTAAAACTTTTGACACAGCGTAACAGATCTAAAGACATTGTAGCAATTTCTTCAACGTGTTTGTCTCCATTGCGGTTAGGTATACCACTCACAACCATGTACGCATCACCAATTGTTTCAACCTAAATAAAATATAATAACAAATTCCAACAAAATCATTTAATCAGAGCCATTAAACCATAACAATTACAGAATCATATTGTTAAAAAAATAACTTATATATTCTTAAAATTTGATAAAATGCCATTAGAAAAAATTGTAGTAAACTTATTGGTCAGCATAAAATTCAAATTTGTTACTCAACCTTGTACACATCATACATATCAATACAATTGTCAAAGCAAACATATAGATCATTCAACATCTCAACAACTTCAAGAGGACTGCTTTCTGAGCATAAGCTTGTGAAGCCAACTATGTCAGAAAAAAAGATTGTAACTGAACTAAAACTTTCAGCAACAACAGGATGACCTTCTTTTAACTTGTTTGCAACTGTTCTATAAATGAAATAAATTATACTAAAGAAACTACTTTTTATTTAAAATATTTTTGCTTTTTTTTTTTTTTTGTAAACAAACTTAAAATATAAACACAAATAATAAAAATAAACAATAATCAAAAAAATACATACGTGAAGATAAAGCCATTTATAACTAAAGTTTGATAACATTTTATAATTTCAAAAGAAGTGTAATACTATGTCATTAATTTGTGCATTTATAAAAATGTAATACCTTGGAAGCATTTTGTAAAGAAGATTTTCTGTTTTAATTTTTTCTTGCTCTAACTCATGTGTTCTTTCAGCGACTATGGTTTCCAAGTTGTCAGTGTACTTTTCCATTTTAGTCAACATGTGGTCCACTAAACTTCCTTTTCTAAATACACATGATGATGATAATGATTATAATGTAAACATGATGGTGATGATGATGATGATGATGATGATGATGATGATGATGATGATAATAATAATGATCATCATGATCATTATTATAATCATCATTATAATTATCATCATCATGATCATGATCATCATCATCATTATAACATCATCGTTATCATTATCATCACCATTATCATAAAACTAATTACATGCCTCTCTTTAATGATCATCATGATCATGACCATGATGATGATGATCATCATCAACATGATCATTTATCATGATTGTGATCATCATCATTATCTTCATCATCATTATCATCATCATTATCATCATCATTATCATAAAAACTAATTACATGCCACTCTTTTTTTCCATTTTAACAATAGTTTTAAGAATAGTCTTAGTTGTAGGTCTCTGTGATGGAACCTTCTTCCAGCACTCTTTCATCAGATTGATATAGTTGTGTGGAGAATCAACATCAGGTATTTTTGGGAGTAACATGGACGATGAGTTTTTTTTTATCTTCTCAATTATATCTAAAACAATATTATTACAATTAAAATTGTTAAATTGTTATAAAACTATTTAAAAAAAAATAAGAAAAAATAGAAACCATTTTTTTGGGGAAATAAAATACATATGCAAAAAAAAAAAATCTAATCAACTGAGACAAAAAATAAATATAAACCAATTAAAAAACACCCCTAAGATCCATTATGGCATTAAAACAATTACTTTGATGTCACAATGGATGTCACAATGGAATGCTTTGACAGAGCATGACAATGTGCTAAAGATATGGGAATCTAGAACCATTAGTAAAATAGAGTTATGTCTTTACAGAGTAAACTGATTGTAATGTGCAACATAAATATATGAAATCAGAAAAAACTGCAACACAAATAATGAAATCAGAAAAAACTGCAACAAAAATATATGAAATCAGAAAAAACTGCAACACAAATATATGAAATCAGAAAAAACTGCAACACTAATATATGAAATCAGAAAAAATACAATTTAAACATTTCAAAACACCATCTTTTCTGAAACCAATCTGAATCTTAATGTTCATTTTTTTAAAGTTAATTAGCATTAATGTTCATGATATAATGTAAAATAATAAAGACCAATTACTTCTGAATTCCGCCTCAAGTACTTAAACAGATCTTCCTCTTAACTATTGACATTCCAATATTTTTGAAAGAAAATGTATTTCACTGATCAAAACTAGAAGCTAGAAACACTAAAACTGTTTTGAAAATTTTAACTTGAAACTCAAAAAAAATCGCAAAACTGCTATTTAAAGATAGAAACTTCATTTTAGGATGTTCTGCCGAACCTTTTCCTCAACTAACAACAATAGTTTTAATTTTAATTTTGTATTTAAGATATATATTAATTTTGTAACATTAAGACACATCAATTTTGTAAAGATCACCATTAAAATATTTTAATAAGAATGAAATATTGGGGAAAAAACATGTTTAAAATCATTTTTTTTAGAACATAAAAGTAGTACATCTTATTACAAAGAAATAAATTGAAAAATAGCATCTTAATATATCAATTATGAGCAATATGTACAATATTTTTTTGCAATTCGACTCATTGGATAGGTTTATGTCCCTGTCCAAAATTTTTATGAAATAAAAAGTTCTTGTAATAACAAAAAACAGAACAATATTTTTCCAAATAAAGTGCATGTTCTTCATCTTAATTGTGCATGAACTGAAAATGACATTTTTAAAAAATTTCGTTCATGAGATTTATGGCTATTCCCTCTCTTTCAAGATATTTATTAATGAATTTCATAAAAGTTGTTTCCATTTTACAAACTAGTGACATAAAGGCTGATATATTGTCAACTGAACTAAGAAAGAGTACATCTGCACACCTATGACATGTGTAAAAGGGCTTGATACTTTGGTTGCATTGAAATTTTTCTAGTGAAAATATAAAATGATTCTGGGCAAAAATAAGAGATTCCTCAATGTATTTTATTTTCTATTTTATAAAGTACACAATTAGTATTTGTTTAATTGCAACACTTTATAAAACCATTCAGATTGAAAGTTGTCTCAAAATTTGAGTCCTTTAAACAGTTGCTATTGGATTTGCTTTTTCCACAGATGAAAGTAATAAAGTGTTTCTGTAGGCAGCTTGAAGTTGTCTAACATTACGACAGTGATTAAAATAATGGAAAAAAAGTTCTTAATGCAGCCCTGATTAAAATAAGAAGTACAAATAAACTGAAAACCTTCAAAAAAATATCTCTCTACTTAAGGTTAGAACAATATTAATTGTGACATGTAAACCCCAGTGACGTGATATACTTGTTTGACTTCTAACATTACAAAATTTGCATTTCTCAATCCAATACTTTAACTCATCCATCTGAGAAATACTTAAAAAATAATTTTTAAAGTTAGAGCCAGCTAGTTTATCTGCATATATTTTATATGAATTCAAATAAAGTATCTATGTGTTCAATAAATATTGCTGTTGGCAATACACTCAAAGAAAATAAATTTGTATTAGAACAGTTATATAATGCAAAAGGTTTTTGGAGGGCCATTTACCATTGGAGGTCCGCGATTTATTCGAGGTCATGTCATTATTTGATTTTTTATTTTTTTTTAAATTTGTTAAATGAATCAAATCAAAATAAACTTTACTAAATATATGACTGGATTTTTTTTTTCAGGTACCCCTCTTTAGTAAGTTTGTAAAAAAACGAGTCCTAAAACCTGTTTTTTGCAGACTCAAAAAAGGTATTTCATGAAATACCTGTCCGCCTAACATGTGTACACGTGTTGGACATAAGTCTGTGTACACAGAGCCAGTGTATAAGAGATGGAATGTGTGTGCATAGAGGAAAACTATCCCCACCTCGCACAATAAAGTACATTCTTTTATGTTGACAAAATATGATCTTTTTTCTTAAAGTCTTTATCTATTTAAAAACATTTAGTTATTAAAAAGTAGTTGTGGTAAATGAGAAAAACAAACATTATTATTAAGGAACTTTTTTTTAAATAGTATGTATGTACTTTTATATTGACCCCTTACCCCCCCCCCTATACACTTTTGTATGCTATTTGAAGACTCCTCCCTTCCTCTATGAGCATAAATATTTTATATACAACCCCTAACCATAATTAAAAGAGCCTGATTTAAAAGTATTCCATTTTTCATAATATAAACTGAGTCAGAATTTCTAGAATATTTTAAATTCTGCTTACATAACATCTCATCCATAACAAGACTGACAATACGATCAACACTATTAATTGAATTAGCACATAATTTTAATAAAGAAAATAATAGAGTAGAAAACTTTTCTTGAAAATCTGAAAATACACAGGCCAAATATAGCATTAAACAAGTTTGATTTGATAAACAGAATATTGTTTGTCAGATATTTAAAGTTTGAGGATTATAAAAAAGAAGCCAAAACTGTTGTAAACTGCCTAGCATTTTATTGACTTGTTTCCTCATTTCTAATTGACTTTTAAAAAAATAACTTGTACAAAAGTGAGAACGAATTGCTAATTGTAATAAAAATTTTCCATAATTATTTGTCGAATAATACATTGTATTTTCAAATTGTTTACTGCACAAATAAAAGTTTTTGTTTAAAAATAAATCTTTTTTGTCTAAATCTTTCCTACCACAGTTGGTGACCTACTGTTTACATCTAAAAATTAAACAGTAAATATAAATATGTAAAAATTAAACAGTAAAAACGGATATGTTAAAAAGTACTAGTAATATATAATAATTTTATAAACTTTTTAATGAAATAAAGAATATTTTTATGAAATAAAGGAAATAAATATAACATACATTATTATGCTTGTCTTTTTTTGTTTTTAGAAAAATGAAAAAATTAAATATTTTTACAGTTTTCTCACTTATTTCCTCAGTTTTTTGCAGCACAAAATGCAAATTGTTATAATTAAGATTAATATTACAAAGATTAAATATTATAAAATTTCAGTGGTCCGGCTGAACATCAAAAAATGCTTTGCAATAAAATTACAACAAATTATAATTTGTTGTAATTTTATTGCAATAATTTCATATAATTATAATTTCATATAATTATACAGTGGTTTTCATAAATTTAGACGCACTCATATTTGAGAATAGAAAATTTTAGGTATTTTAACGATAAAACAATGACAAAAAAAGATTTCAGTTTAGTTTTTTTTCTATTTATCAGATAAATACATACAGAATGCAAAATTTAAAAAAAGTTTACAAAAAAAATGAAATACTAAGTAATAATTAGGTAGAACTACATGGTATTAAAAAAATTAGACAAAAAAATTATTCATAAATTTAGACGCACGATACATTAGAAGGCGTAATTTATGAACCAATCAATATTTTGTGTATCCGCCTTTTGCTTTAATACAACTAAGAACTCTTCTAGGCATAGACTCAACAAGATTTTTGCACATCGCTTCTGGGACCCCATACTAGGTCTCCTTAAGGAATTCCTTCAGCTGACCAAGTGTGGAAATTTGAACCTTTGCTAATTCACGATCAATCCAAGCCCAAAGGTTTTCAATCGGGTTCAAATCAGGTGAATATGGAGGCCACGGTATTGTCATAATATTATTATCGTTGAACCACTCCTTTGTATAGTATGCAGTATGTGCAGTAACGCTATCTTGTTGAAGTTTCCATGGTTTATCATTGAGCATAAGCAGGTCAATTGATGGAATTAGGTTGTTTTCCAGTACTTCTACGTATATTCTGGAGTTGATTCTTTCGGTGTATGTTTGGCACATACCAACACCTTTGTAATTGAAGCATGACCAGATTCCTATCGAGCCTCCTCCACTTTGTACAGTTAGTCTAATGTACCTGGCGTAATACTTTTCGTGAGCCATTCTTTTGACTGTTATGTTAGATTTGCGATTGATAAGCTTAAAGTTACTCTCATCACTCCACATAATGTTTTCCCATTGATCTATTGTCCAAAACCTTCTTTCACGACACCATTTTAGTCTCCTTTGTTTATCATATGGACGCAGAAGCAGTTTCTTCAAAGCAGTGTAGACTCCAATCTTGTATTTGATAAGTATTCGGCGGACTGTGCTTTGAAAAATAGATGTATTTCACGTTGTATTGAATTCTGTGGTCAATTATTTGTAACTAATTCTTGGATTAGCTCTGACAGCTCTAAAAAGAACACTATCGTCCTTTCTCGTGGTTGACAAGGGTCTACCTGGCCTCGTTTTCTCGCTGGCACCACCAGTGTGAAGAAAGTTTTGTTTCGTTGTCCGAACGCATTTCTCAGAAACTCCAATTAACTTGGCGATTTCTCTATTACTTTTGGTTCCTTCTTTGATGTGCGCAATAATTTGCCATCTTTTACCTTGAGTGATACGTCTTTTGCCCATTTTTTACGTTTTTTTCTACGCAAAACTAACTTATCTTTTGTTTATTTATTAAATAATAATTAAATAATTCCAGGTAAGTCATATTTATATAAGGTTTTTTGACAAAATCAATTAATTTAGGCCTATTAATGAGAAATATAAGAAAAAAACTACTAATTAACTATCAATTAACAAGATATAAGACTTTTTTAATTGTGCGTCTAAATTTATGAACAAAATAAAATCAAGTTTATCAATTAACTTTTTTGTGTTAATCGGTATAAAATGAGTAATAAACATCCTGTAAAAAAAATTAAGGTACTCTATAATAGAGTTTCATTTCCTCTTTTAAATTATATATCAAACATAGCGGTAGCACTTTTATTTTATTTTTATTTTGAGTATTTTCTTACATATATGAAAAAAAAAATGAATGCGTCTAAATTTATGAAAACTACTGTATGAAATTATACCTGACTGGATATGCTTTGGCGAGTACGTATGCCGTTTGACTTGATTTCTCATGCACTATTTCAACTAGAACTTAATTTCTTTTTTTTTAACAAAAATATTGAATTTCACAAGTTTAAAAAATCAATATTATGCTATGTGACAGAGAAATTAACTAAAGGTTTTTTTGTTTTTAATGTTTTAAAAAATACATGCGTTGATCTTGTAATAAATAATGCATACAAACACAGAGAGAAAGGAGGGGGAGGAGGGGGAGGTATTGAAACATACAGGAATATTGAAGATGCAAGGGTTTTAATGCGGTTTTACTGTGTTCATACTTTATGGATGCTGCTTAAGAAGTTGGATATTTAAACTGTCAGGTTTTCTTTATTTTCATAAACACTATAACATAAATTATCCAAATCTAAAACATAAATTTGTAAAACACAAAGTTGTTCCTATAAAACAACAGTTTATAGGAACAACTTTGTGACTACCATGCAAGACTATATATATATATATATATATATATATATATATATATATATATATATATATATATATATATATATATATATATATATATATATATATATATAATATATATATATATATATATATATATATATATATATATATATATATATATATATATATATATATATATATATATATATATATATATATATATATATATATATATATATATATATATATATATATATATATAGTCTTGCATGGTAGTCACAAAGTTGTTCCTATAAACTGTTGTTTTAAAGAGCGCGTTAATAAGCCTGACCAGAAAATGTTAAAAAACTTCAAAAATATATATATTTTTTTTAAATGATAGACTGCCTGCCCAAACCAAACCCTCAGTCAGTGTAGCAGCACTCCATTGCGAGTCAGGCTATTTGTCAGTCGATGTAGCAGAACTCCCTTGCGAGTCAGGCTATTTGTCAGTCGATGTAGCAGCACTCCGTTGCGAGTCAGGCTATAAGATAGTTGATGTAGCAACACTCCCTTGTAGCAGCAGGCTATAAGATAGTCGATGTAGCAACACTTAGGCATGTTTTAAAAATGTTTTTTAATAAAACAAAAACACCATTAATTAAAAAAAACTTTCTAGTCATTATTATTGTGGTTTTTTTAAAAAACAATAAAATTTAATGTACTTCCGTATTAATTTAATTGCTTTGACATTTCGATGACAATCAAATACAGCTTAAGAGACGAGGTAATAAAAATTGTAGTCGAAAGAGACTTTTTTTTACCATAAAAGTCTCTTTTGACTACACTATAAGGATATATATATATATATATATATATATATATATATATATATATATATATATATATATATATATATACATATATATGGATCATTAGGAAAGAAATTGATCTTGTCAGCTGTCACCACTTCACTGTAGTCACCACTTCACAAACCAGTTGCTTTGTTTTGCAGATTGTGCTGTATGATAAATTTTTTACTGAGTCACTAAGAGTCTGAGCCACTGTTCCAACCACGAAGAGCGCACAACAATTAGAAGTATTAACCTGATCAAGAAATGATACAACATTATCTGATAGAACTTTCTTCTTCTTTTACGTTGAACCACTTGTGCTAGAATGGAAGGATATTCAATATCATCAAAGGAACTTGAGCTACCTGCACTCACAATGTCAACTGCTGATGAAAAAGGAATCAGTTCAGTTTTTATCATCAACTTGGCTTCACTGCTATGATACCTCATTTCCATTTTAGCTTCTCAAACTTGTTTCTATGCTTCCGTAGCTGTTTCTATGCTTCCGTAGCTGTTAAATTCTGATCAATTCCTGCCATACTTCAATTTAATAGATCTTCTTGCTGCTGGTGTAAGAATGCTTTATCTTTATTGTTATTTATAATTTCTGATGCATTCTTGGTTGATATATCAAAAAGTTCTTCAAGGTTAGAGGGTTACATTTATAAAGGGTTAAATGGTATTAGACATATTGGCTGGTTAAGTGAATATGTATATTTGCATATAATATGTATTGTAAAATGTAGATTATCCCTACTAGTTTAGAAATATATAACTTATATTATCCAAAATTTCTATTCATTATTAGTTAATTAGTATATTAACATTCTTACATATTATAATATGTTAATATCAATATAATTACTAATATTCTTATAAATTATGACAACTCCTAAAATTACTTCTATTAGTTTAATTTTTGATACAAATGATCCTAGGTGACAAATGAACACAGGCAACCTTAAGGAGAATATTTTTTGTGACTAATATTTTTCTATAACAACATGAATCCCCCTAATATATATATATATATATATATATATATATATATATATATATATATATATATATATATATATATATATATATATATATATATATATATATATATATATATATATCCACACACATTTAAAAATTAAACAAATTTAAGAAACCTCGAGGAGAAAATCCAGACTCTAATTCCAGTTCATAAAGATCACCTCTTGTATATATTTCATATAAGATCATTCCATAACTATAAATATCAGAGGAGGCATAATACACAGAATTTTGAACCATTTCCGGTGGATCATAAAAATTCTCTATAAGTATTAAATATTATTTTCAATTTCATTTTAAACCAAACAAAAAAACAAAAACAAAAAAAACAATTGATAAATAAAAAATATTCTTTAAACAATGTTAAGAAACTATTAAGTAGTAAAATTGATCTTTCATAAAAATACTTTTTTTTGAAAAAGAAAAAGAAAAAAAATGTTGTTAATACTTTTATAAAAAATTTATTAGAAAAAAAAAAGCAAATTAGAAAAGTAAAGTATGATAAGTTCTATAAAATCTATTTGTCTTCTAATTTACTTTTATGTGTACAATAATTTTAATAGATAAAAACTTTATTTTATGCAAAAAATTGATTAAAAAAAATTCTATCCAACATTTGAGTAATGATAAAACAATTTATAAATGCATTGAATTCTACAGTTAAATTTATGTTCAATAAATTCCTATTCTTAGATTTTTTTGATTATTTTATTCAACATATATGGGAATATTTAAAAATATTTCATTTTGAAAATAATTTTAACAGTTTTAAGAGTGATTATTATAAAGAAAGAATATGTTTACACCTTTAAAGAAAAATATACTTATTAATTTTTTCTCCCTAATATTTATGCATTTTTGAATAAAATTAATTGCCTTTACAAACACCAGCAGAGGTTTCGTGCTAATCATTCCACAACCCACTCACTTATTAATATTACTGAGTCAATTATAAAAACTCTAGATCTACAAAAAGCTTATGATACAGTAGATCATTCTATCCTACTCAAGAAATTAGAATATTATGGAATCAGAGGAATACCTCTTAAATGGTTTAATTCCTATCTTCATAACAGATCTCAGTTTGTCTCAGTCAATGACTCAAAATCTACCCAAATAAATTGTTCCAACGGTATCCCATAAGACTCAGTATTAGGACCACTACTTTTTCTTCTTTATATTAATGACTACAATAACTCAATTAAGTTTGCAACTCCTTACCACTTTGCTGATGATACTAACTTGCTCATTTTCAACAAATCTTTAAAAAAAATTAACAAATACATCAATTATGATCTTGCCAATCTAGTTCAGTGGCTTCGATCAAATAAGCTTTCTCTCAACTGTAGCAAAACTGAACTGGTCTAATAAAACAAAAATCAATAAATAATTAAGTGGCTAGAAAATCATTCCTGTAAATTCAATCAAATATTTTGGAATTATAATTGATTCTAACCTATTGTTTGTATCCCATCTTAAAGACTTAGCCATAAAATTAAGCAGATCAAATGGAATGCTGGCTAAAGTTTGCCATCATGTTACTCTGGAAACATTATTAAATATATATCATGCATTTCTGGCTCACATATAGAATATGCTTGTCAAGTATGGGGACAATCTCAACAGCAAGCAGTTTTAAGTAGGGTTGGGAGTTAAGGATAGTTTTAGTCTAACTAAAAATACTTAACTAAATTTTTAGTCTAACTAAAATTAGTCAACTAAAATTAGTCAACTAACCTTTTAGTTAACTAAAATTACCCGACTAACTTTTTAGTTAACTAAAATTAGTCGACTAATTTTTTAGTTAACTAAAATTACCTGACTAACTTTTTAGTTAACTAAAATTAGTCGACTAACCTTTTAGTTAACTAAAATTACCCGACTAACTTTTTAGTTAACTAAAATTAGTCGACTAACTTTTTAGTTAACTAAAGTTAGTCGATTAACTTTTTAGTTAACTAAAATTATCCACCTAACCTTTTAGTTAACTAAAATTATCCGCCTAACCTTTTAGTTAACTAAAATTATCCTCTTAACCTTTTAGTTAACTAAAATTATCCCCGTAACCTTTTAGTTAACTAAAATTATCCTTTTAACCTTTTAGTTAACTAAAATTATCCGCGTAACCTTATAGTTAACTAAAATTAGTCGACTAACTTTTTAATTAACTAAAATTAGTCAACTAACCTTTTAGTTAACTAAAATTATCCGCTTAACCTTTTAGTTAACTAAAATTATCCGCGTAACCTTTCAGTTAACTAAAATTAGTCGACTAACTTTTTAGTTAACTAAAATTACCCAACTAACTTTTTTGCTAACTAAAATTACTCGACTAACTTTTTAGTCTAACTAAAATTAGTTGACTTACTTTTTAGTTAACTAAAATTATCCGCCTAACCTTTTAGTTAACTAAAATTATCCGCTTAACCTTTTAGTTAACTAAAATTATCAGCGTAACCTTTTAGTTAAATAAAATTAGTCGACTATTTAGTTAACTAAAATTATCCGCCTAACCTTTTAGTTAACTAAAATTATCCACCTAACCTTTTAGTTAACTAAACTTAGTCGACTAACTTTTTAGTTAACTTAAATTAGTCGACTAACTTTTTAGTTACCAAAAATTAGTTTACTAAATATTTTGTTTAACTAAATTTAGTCAACTAAAAAAGAAATAATCTTTCGCATAAAAATTTTACACATGGAGAAGCTTTATTAAGGCGATAAATATTATTTTATTGTAATTAAACACTTTACTAATTGTGAATCCTAGAGTCCAGTCAAACTAAACTGTTATTCAAAAAAAATGTTTTAAGCAAAATTCAATTTTTTTTTTTCCCAGCTCGGAGACAACTGCCTATGAGGTTGTTGCAACTGTTTATTAACTGTATTGTACCCAATCAGCATGGAATGTACAAATAATGCCCTTTAGTCAACTAAATCAAATTTAGTATGCTTATTGAACGTTTAACTTAAATTTTTTTATGTTCTGCGTCCTATAGGTAGTATGCAGTAATAATCGCACATCAAAAATAATCTACCCTGCCAAGGCTTGTACCGACTAGGGTGTGTGCACCTTCCCAGGTTTACAATATTCTGTAGGTTTTGTCGGTAATTTGGAAAATTTGAGACTGGGTCGGTTAAAACTGAAATTTGGCTTTCGAACAAAAAAAAAAAAAAAAGCCCTACTTTGGTGAGATTTTTATGGTAAAAAAGATTTTTTTATTTGTACCCCCTTGTATTTTTACGTCTTAGTTATTCAGTACAGCCAATGTACTGAAACAATGCAGTAGAAACATTTGGCATTCTAGTTCTTCCAAATACAAAAGATATAAAAATATCGTGTTCACTTAAAAATTATAAATGGACATTAAATTCCCTCCCTTTATTAACCCTCTCCAAACCAATTGTAATGTTGACGTAACCACCACTACAAATACAATACACAATATACAAACATTTATTGTTGCATCTTCTCTCCCGACTATTATAAACTGCAAACACTACAGTTAGGCAGGCGAAAGTATTGACATAAACCCAAAAGATAATCGTTAAATAAGTTATTATGAATATATTTATTGCATTCAGAATATAGTTAATTGTCGGTTAAAAAATTCCAAATTTTTGTACAAAAACATTAACTTTTTAACTGGAATTATATCACAAACTTTTTTTGTCAAATGAAATTCTGACAAAAATTCTCTAACGCATTTAAAAAATTTTTTTTTCTCATACTTTTTAAAGAATTGAAAAATTTTATAATTTGGATCCAAAAAAGTGGCACATAATAAAGACGAATTATTGTAATATACTGTAGCTTACAGGGCTGGCACAACTAGGTAACATGTAGAGAGCGCCGTTAAATTTTAGCTGACTAGAAAAAAGAAAATATGATCATTGTTTTTTTTAAATTTACCAAGTGACTGTTCTGAAAATCTACATTTGCCGACTTACTTATCTAAAAGAGCAAAACTGGCTTACTAAATGAGCTAAAAGTTCATTGATGGGATGTCACACACAAAATCAACCACCCCATCCCCTCACCCCTTTGCGCTGTCCTTGGTAGCTTATTCAATTCTAAAGATATTTGTGTTTTATCATGTTTACTTTTTGGATTTTTTATGAAATATTTTCTTGAAGTATCTTGTTAAACCTTTGGTACTAAAAATTCAAAAAAAATTATTTTGATATTTTTTAATTGTTGCAGTATTATGCGGTAAAATAATCATGCATTAGCAAACTTATTGAAAAATTCTAATAGAAATGATATAATGAACCTAAATTATTTATACTATATATTTATAAATTTCTTTAGTTGGACTTAAAACAAAGTTGGGTATATTTAGTTAACTAAAAACTTAGTCGGTTAATTTTAGTTAACTAAAAAGTTAGTTTACAACTTTTAGTTAAACTAAAATGTTAGTCGGGTAATTTTAGTTAGCTAGAAAGTTAGTTGGGTAATTTTAGTTAACTAAAAAGTTAGTCGACTGACTTTAGTAGTTAACTAAAAGGTTAGTTGGCTAATATTAGTTAACTAAAAAATTAGTTGACTAATTTTAGTTACGGTTTTTTTAGTTTAGTTAATTACAATTTTTAGTTTTAAGGATATCCCATCTTCAAAACAAAACTTTAAAAATAATCCGTTTTCAGAATTACAAATTCAATCCTAATGTGCTTTATCTTACTTCTAAGATCCTTAAACTATGTGACCTTGTTTAATTCGTGAATTGCCAGTTTGTCTGGAATTACCAACACAAAAACCTAACAATTTCTTCCTCAAAAATGCAAATACAGTTAATAAATCCAAAAGTATGTGTATCTGTATAAGTGTTTGTGATAAGTGTATATGAATAAGTGTGAGTTTATATGTATGTATGCAGGGATGTGTATGTGTATGTTGTATATATTTGTATATAAATATATATATATATATATATATATATATATATATATATATATATATATATATATATATATATAATATATATATATATATATATATGTATATATATATATATGTATATATATATATGTATTTGTATATGTATTTGTGTGTGTGTTAGTGTGTGTATATGTATATATATATGTGTGTGTATGCTTATATATGCGTATGTATATATGTGTGTGTATATGTATTTATGTTTGTATATGTGCATGCATGTATGTGTATGTATGTATATGTACGTGTGTATATATGTATATTTATGTGTATGTATATATGAATCTATATGTGTTTTTATGTATTTGTGAATATAATTGAGTATGTACGTTTGTATGTATGTATTTGTATGTGTCTATATATGTGTGTATGTGTGGGACTAATATTAAATTAATATGATTTTTGTTATGATTATTGTAATTATTTTTATTTTTATCATTTCATTTTTATCATTGTATTGCTATTATTGTTACTACTACCACTTTTATTATTATTAGTAGTATTTTTACTCCTTCAACTTTTAATGTTTGCTTTGTTACTGCTGTGGACAATTGATATTACTATTAGCATTAACAATATATTTATTAGCTTTTATTTGCAAGGTTTTTTCTTAAGATTAGTACATGTACTATTTGTAAACTTCCAGGAATGTAACAACTATCTCAGAAATATATTAAATGAATTGAAAAATTGAATTGAATTTTAACTTAAAATTTTTTTCTTGTCTAATGCATGTTTTTTTTGCTAATAACTTTTATTATTTGTTTGTAAAATATAAAGCATTATATAGATAAGTTTAGACTTTTTGTTTTTCAGTATTTATTTATGTGCTTTAAATATATATATATATATATATATATATATATATATATATATATATATATATATATATATATATATATATATATATATATATATATATATATATATATATATATATATATATATATATATGTGTGTGTTCAATATTTTTTTTTAAAAAGAAAAATTGATTTCCTTAAGCTTCTTTTTTTTTAGTTTCTTGGGATTAAAAATTGATAATTTGTCTCATAGTGGTAAGGTTTCATCTTTTTTTCTTTTTACAAACACTGCTGTTGCCACTGCTTAAAGAAAGATCTTTGTTCCACCTACTAAAAAAAAACCTTACACAACTTGTCATTTTAGTAAAATCCTATTGATTTTTATGGAATTCTGCCATCTTTGTATTTTACTGACTCTTTTATAACCACTTTCCTGTTCTCTTTTCTTTATTTTTTATTAACTACTTGAAACTGTGCAGCCTTGTTGAAAATTAATTTGTTTAAAAAAACAAAAAACAACATAAAAGTGCTTTAGAATATAGGTATTTAATCTTTCTATTTATGTTGCCGTACACCTCACTTCTGAATACTTATCTATATATTAACCAATACAGATAAATAAAATAAAATGTTTACTTAGATGTTCTACAGAAAATTCGTTGTCTTTTAAGAAGTTTTGAAATTTTCTCAAACCAAAATTAGATACTTTGCAAACCCATCTACTATCTACCAAACAATTAGAAGATCGCAAATGACCATGTACACCTACCAAACTTTTATGAATTACGTGGAGACCCTGGTAATGTAAACAACATTCACATTTTTATCTGCAAAATAAACTATCCAAAAAATAGGCATAATATAAAATTATATTTTCACCTGAGCTATATCTTTAGCAAACGAAAGTCGAAACATCCAGTCACAAGTAATTTCATTATTATGCAAGACGTCCTGTAAAAAAAAAATTTAAAAACATAATAACTGTAAATATTAATGTATTACATGAGCAAATCTTTTTGCATTTGCTTGAACTAATAATAATAAAATAGGATAAAAATATACAAAGTGGAAAATAGTGACCGGCAGATGGTCAACAATTGCTATTTTGACCTCCCAAAATGAGTTCTTGCTGGTCATGGTTAATTGGTTGAAAAAAATCAGAGGTTTAGACAACAAAATATCAAAGTTCTGAATTAACAAAAATAATGTAAGTGAAAACATGAGTGAAACAAGAAGTTTACAACATCAAGTACAAAACAAAAAGTTTTTGTACTCCTGCATAAAAAATTTTAATTTGAGTTTCGTTTTTTATTAAAGGTGAGTTAATCTCGGAATCATAAAAAATAATAAATAATAATTTAAATAATAATAAACAAGGTAAAAAGGTAGAAAATTGCCTAAAATAATTTTTGGTCAGCATTAGGTCAGCACAAAATCTTTAATACAAAGGTTTGACTGATAACAATATAAAAACAAAAACAAAAGCTCAGATACTTTTAGGTCGAAAGTAAGGTCAGCATTACTAAATGCCAACCCTAATTCTGAGGACTGCAATCTTCATACAAGTTTAAAGTCTGAATAAAAAGTAATATGCAAAAAAAGAAGATAGTTATTGTTAGAAGATATTTATTATAATTATAATTTATTATTGAATCTGAACCGGATCTAGTTTAGAATCTGATCCAAAAATTGAAAAATATATAAAAATTACAACAACAACAAAAAATTACAACAAAAAAATTAATAGCAGCTGGAATGACCATACACAATGACCTTCTATTCAGAAATAATAAACTTGATTATGTCTATTACTATATTTAGAAAACCAACAACCTTTCTAAAATAAATTATAATAAAACAGAAGCAATGAATATACACTCAAGCTTCCATGGCTTCCAAGAATAGGTTTAAAACTTTAAAGAAAAGAACTTACCCCTTACAACATCAGAATAACTTTTACTACACCACCTACGTTAAAAAATATCTTATGTAACAACAAATCAAAGTGAATTCCCAATAGCAATCCCTGTGTCTACAAACTCACATGCTCTTGTGGAAGCATAAACATTGGCAAAACAAAAAAAAAAATTTAACAACATTAATGATTGAGATGCATTAAACATAAAAAAAAAAACTATTTAAAAGGTAAATGGGATGCATCTGGGGCAACCAAACATGGTGGAGAATGCAATGGTACGTTTGATTGGTCACATTCAAAAACTCTAACAATAAAATCAGAGTACGATGAACATAAAGTTAGAGAATCACTTGAAATTAATTACGCCTCAACATACCAGGAAATAAAACACGCTTCTATACTTCACAACCATGACAATGGAGTTAATATTTCAACAAACAGTTACAGACCTCTGTTTAAAAAAATTATCCAAAAAAACAGAATTAAACAATATTTGCTAATTTTATTTTTATGTTGTTATGTAATCATTTATGGCTTCTTTTTAATGCCTTCTTTGACATTTTATGTAATATTTGTAACGGTTTTTTGAATTTATTTTACATCTGATGAAGATCTGTGCAAAAGCAGGTTGAAATATTACGTACAAAAATTTAGTTTGTATGTATTTAGTTTGTATGCTGCTGTTTTATGCTCTATATTTTAAAAATATATTTAAATATATTAATGTAAATTATAATTAAAATTATAATTAAATGTAAAATATAAATTAAAATATTAATTTAAATACATTAATGTAAATATATATTTTTAATATATATTATATATATATATATATATATATATATATATATATATATATATATATAAAATACAAATTTTGTTTTGAAAATAACGGATTTTTTTTTTTTAATATCCTAACTAAGCTCCAAGTAATCACTATTAAGTTGCAAGTTATTAGAAACTAAAGAACTTAGTTAAAAAGCAGGGAAATGGTTCACAGAAGACTTGAAAAGTTGAAGGTTGTATAAGTCAGGAACACATGACGAGACAGAGTTCCAAAGAATTGAAGTGTGAGAAAAAAACTAAATGAATAAAAGTTTTTTGAGTATGATGGAACAGATACAAAAGAAAAGCAACTTTGCTGAGTGACAAGTCAAGTGAGAATGAGTTTTAGTCGATGGAACTAGAAGTTTTTAGAGTTAACTCGTTTGAACTGTGATTCGTATTTGTAAAATAATTTTGTAAAAAAGAGAAAAGGTTTCAACCTTACAATGATAGAAAAGAGAATCAAGCTTGGCAGAAATAAAATAAATCCAACTATGTTACAATGCATTTTTGGCCTTGTCTAGAAGAGAGAGAGCATCATTAAAAGAACCAGCCCAAATATAACAACTGTATTTCATATAGAGACAAGTCAAAGATTTGTAGAGGTAGATAATGGAATCAGGAGTAAATTAATGGCTAGCACGATAAAAAGAAGCAACCTTATCGTCTAACCTTAGCAGATGCTATCTTTGAAATTGATTGTATATATGGTTTTAATGACAGGTCAGTAGTGGATGATAAACCAAGAAGACATAAAGAAGACTCAGTGAAAGGGCTGCCATTCATTAGTATAGGAATATCAACAATATTACCATAGTTGTTTGTAGTAAATAACTTTGGAAAGTTATGATGGAGTTAAAATACACAAACCACTGTAAGCCCTAATCTGTTACAGAAGTGAGATCAGAATAAAGATTGGCTACCATTTAGATTTAGAATAGAAATTTGTTAGTAGTTAAAAGAAGTTGCTGTCATTATTTAGTAAATAAAATGGAGAACTAAAACTTTTAACTTGGATAATTTATATTTAATTGGACTGTTAATAGTCACAAAATTTTAGAATAATTGAAATTTGAAATTTAATTTCAAATAATTGAAATTTACATGACACTCCTCTCTCAACTCTATTACTTAACACAAACCTCGACCAACAAGGAAGCAGAGAAAATTTAATAAAAATTAATAAGAATAATAATTAAAAGTTGAGAATTAGGTTTTGCAGAAAATTTTTAGTAAATACTTGTTTTTGTGGCAAATTTTTTAATATGAATTCATTCATTTATTTAGTAATTTTTCCAGATTTGAGTAAGAAATAATTGCAAGTTTTTTGTTTAGATAATGGTGGAATTTTACAAATGCTTAAATAAAGGGGTACAGATTTTAGAACAGACTAGACAAAAGTGGGAGCTCTGTTTTAAAGAATGTCCCATTAGAACTTAGGGAATACTTTTTTTTAAATAGAAAAATAAATAGTTAGGTTTGTTTGCATTTTTCATTTTTTACTTAAAGTTTAAGATATGCCATTTTATTTTAAAAATGATATCAGGCAAATAGTCACTTCTGGCTTTTTTTTTACTTAATTTTACTCTTTTGACAAAATATTTGATCACAATTTTACACAAAGCTGGCTGTATTTCATTACTAACCTCAGTAATCTCAATAATGAGGTATTCAATTGTTTTCAGAGCATTAACATAAGCGTTTTGCTTAACAAAACCCCAAAGGAAAGAGCCTAAAAGAATTAAATCACAAAATCGTGGTGGCCATTTAGCTTCACTAATAATCACCACGTGGTTCACCACTAATAATCCATTTAGTTAATCCATTTACCATCACTATTTACAAGAAATGAAGTGACCTGGAAACTTGGATTTCAATAAAACCACAGTTTCTTGAGCTGATTAGAGGTAGATAAGCTGAGCAGATATAGGTAGGCAACATTTACTTGCCACATAGCTTTTATTAAGCTGTTCTTTAGAAGGTGTTAAATTCACAACATGAAATCTACACATGATTGATTTAAAAAATCTATTTGGTATTTATGAAATAGAAATTCATATAAAATACATTTACGAAATATTCCAAGCTATTTGCTCTACAAAAATACCAATAATCTTTGATATATGTTTTAAGGTAACAATAGGTGATAAAATTTTTTCTATAAGTTCACAACTTAAAAATTGCAAGTCTTTAAACATGTATCAAAAATGATTTCTAAAAAGAACAAAAATTTTAAAGAACTAGCAAAAAAATAATTTTTTTAAGCAAAAAAAAACAAACAAAAAAAAAAACCTTAAAATAGAAACCTAAAATAATAAATTACAACTAACTAGATTAATCACATATAAAAATAAATAAATTACAACTAACTAGTTTAATCATATATAAAAATAAATTAATTACAACTAACTAGATTAATCACATATAACAATAAATAAATTACAACTAACTAGATTAATCACATATAAAAATAAATAAATTACAACTAACAAGATTAATCACATATAAAAATAAGTAAATTACAACTAACTAGATTAATCACATATAAAAATAAATAAATTACAACTAACTAGATTAATCACATATAAAAGGTACCGTTAAATTATATGAGCAATATGACCACAGTAAATGATAATCTTGACCACGGATAGAAACTCCAATAAATGAATTGACATTTATTTCATTTAAATCTTTCATCTAAATATATTTTTAAATTACAAAGTTACAATATTTACAGATACATCAAGTTATTCATTATTAAAAATTTAATTTTATATTAAATATTAAAAAAAAATTATTAAATTTTTTTCTGCTGCCTAATGGGATCCCATTAAGATTTTCAAAAAAAAAAATTTAGCCGTAACATTTTTTTTTATCATTCTCTTTAATAAGTGTCTCAGAGGTTTGGGATCTCTTTAACGATTTTCATCAACGATCTCATAATAAAACATATGAAATGATCTCAAAATAAAACATAAAATGATCTCATAATAAAACATATTAAATGATCTCATAATATAATGACTAAATAACTATTGTAAAAGAAATCCTACATGTTTCAAATCAATCAACATTTCTTTGTTGAGGTCAAGCTTACAGTTTTTTATTGTCTTGACAAACAACTGAGTAGTTTGTAAGTAAACACTTCTTGATTGACCAAATTGCCGAATATTAGTTGATTTCTGTTGATCATGCTTGCGTCTCTTCTAAAGTAAAAACATATATATATATTTAAAACGTGTTTATACATTTATTTTTGTTTATCTTTTTATTATTTAGAAAATTGTTTAAAAATCATGCTAAATATTATAATAATATTAGCTTTAAATCAAACAAAATTTGATCTATTTAACAACAATGGTGGCTTTGTAACAAATATTAAAATTGCAGACCGATAATTTATTTACTACTTACTCAGTGTTGTTTAACACATAGTGTCACAATGGAGCTATTGTTAACACTGTGTTTTGTGTCATAATGGAGCTTTTGTTTTTTAGGTTATGCAAAATACATATTGTTTTAAGATTGATCATAATATTGTCATAATATTGTCTATATAAATATTTAACAATGAAAAACTTTTTTACAAGTATTTAATATAAATTTAATTTAATTTTCAAATTTGTTTCATATATTTCACATCTATTTATTACCTACAACATACTGTTGCCTTGGTGATTGATGATGATTTTGAAATAGATTTGATATATGGTTTCCAGGTAAGGTCAGTGTAAAAAACAATGTGAGAAGACTTGAAGTAGGAGGTTTAGCCATGTTATCGATATATATATTAATTTTCTCATGTGCCGCCTGGTTAAGGAATTTCTTTATAGATCCTTAATAGATTTCTAAAAAGATCTTGTTCAAAAATATTCCAGCATTTTTTTATAACGTATCAACTATCTTTTTGTAAATCAGATACAACAAGATAACTGCTATTAAAAAGCAGTCTGCAGGCCATCAATAGAAATAATAGCTAAGATAAACTTTTTTAAACTATTAAAGTAATGACTTAAATGCAAATAAAGCCACTTTAGTGGTGAGATTGAGAAGATTACTAGTGGAGATTATTAATGTAGATAAAAAATAAATATGAGACTTTAGATAGAACTTTATGGTACCCCTGAAACCCCTGGAATTAGTAGAATTGAAAAAAAAAAAATTCCATCAAAGATCAATTGTGATCTGCCCTGTATTTCTATTTAATGTGTAGTAAAACCATTTGGTTATTACAGTTATATATTTTATAGTTGCAGCTGAGATTTATGAAAAAGTTTTATATAGTTATAAAGGTTCTTTTATAGTTACCAAATCAGCAGTAGAATAAAAAGCTCAAAACTGATTGATGCTGCTTATCAAGTCAAAACTGATTGATGCTGCTTATCAAGTCAAAACTGATTGATGCTGCTTATCAAGTCAAAACTGATTGATGCTGCTTATCAAGTCAAAACTGATTGATGCTGCTTATCAAGTCAAAACTGATTGATGCTGCTTATCAAGTCAAAACTGATTGATGCTGCTTATCAAGTCAAAACTGATTGATGCTGCTTATCAAGTCAAAACTGATTGATGCTGCTTATCAAGTCAAAACTGATTGATGCTGCTTATCAAGTCAAGAAGTTGTTGATAATATTTTTTTGTAATGTTGTAATGTATGTAATTTTTTTATTTTATGTAATTTTTTTTGTAATATAATTAATAATCAAAAAATTGTTAATAACATATAAAACCTTGATAAGACTCTCCACTAATCCTCTAATAAAGAAAATATTTTTACATCCAAAAAACAACAAGTAAACTGATTGCTCTTTGTGGTAAACCCCTGTATTTTTTGCTGTCTTGTGTGTTTGCAGATGGATGCAGATCACTATTTGTGTTGTTTTATTGTTTCACACTGAATAATCTTTACAGTTCTTTAAAAGGCTTGAAAAACTAAGAAATATGAAAAACTTGTCCTAATTTAGTTTTGAGGAGCGTTTTATGACATATGTTGAACAGGATCAAAAGTTCTTTTAATTTATGATGTTTGTGGTAGCCATGTTTATCTCATTAGAACATTTATGAATGGAGAGAAATTTTAAAGCCCTTTACAAGAAAAACACAAAACAAAAATATCAAAAAAAAAAATTTTTCGTAGAATTATTAAGCAACTAATTAGTATTCAAGTAAACGTATGAAATCAACTATGTGAAAAAAATGTCCTAATATACTTACAGAGACAGCAGCAATAACAAATCCAAAAAAAAGTAAAAATTTGTCATGAAAAAGTCAAACAACAATTACTTTAATATTAAGTAAACATTTTTTTTAATATTTAAGTGATATATTTGAAGCAATTCTTGTATAACATGTTGAGCAGCTCTTGTATGATATATTGAGCAATCTTTGTATGACATATTAAGTAATTCTTGTTTGACATGCAATTAACTGTCAAAACTAACTTAGTTGCACATTGTTAAATTTTTTCAAAGGTTCAATAATGTGCAGCTAAAACATAGTTGGCTGCATTTGCTATGTTGTATCCATATACTCCACCCATCTTAAATTACAGCTTCATTAGAACAATAAGCTCCTGAACTTAATTAATTAAATTGAACTTGTTAACTTTTATGTTTTGATACCTAATTTTTATGAGACTGCTTGACAAATAACTTTAAGCAACAAATAAAAGATAAGGAAGATCATGTGAGAAAATCATGTAAGATTAAAAATATCTTTAAGATACTTGTCCTACGTGATTCTCTATGACAAAAAAAATAGTATCGGGTAATTCCACATCAAATCACCCAAAATTTAGGAAATTTTGAACCATGGTTCCTCAAATTTTTTAAAAATTTCTTTGGTTGTTGCATCTTTAATAAAAAAGTTAAAACATAAAATTTTAGCTAAAAATGTTAAGCGGTTGACAAGATACTGCGATTTTAACATTGACCTGGTTTCCCAAAACGACCCGGTTTTCATAACATTCTAAAAAACATTTTTTTAAAAAAAATAAGAAATAAAAATGGCAAAAATATGAAAATAAATGTATATAATGTTTTTTTGATGCTGAATTCAATAAATGTACTTAAAATGCTGAAATATAAAAGGGACATGCTTAAAAGTTAATAAAACAACTAGTTTCTATAATCTAACTTTGGGGCCCAATATCTCAAAACACCCCTGTCAAATTTTTTTTTTTTTGCTGTTAATATATTCAGCTGCTTATAATCTTACTAGGCATAAAATATCTAACTGGAAAAACAACTAAAACATATGTAACTTTAATTTTAAAGATATATCAAATTTTCAATAAATTAGTTTAAAAAACTTGCAAATAGAATTTTGTAAAATATTAAATTTAGTTATATTTAAGGAAGTCTTAATTATATAATAAATTTGTTATTTGATCTTAACAACTGAAAAAAACATCCTGTTTTGTTTTTAAAATTTGACAAGGTGTGATGATGAAGTGCATTTGTTTTTAAAATTTTGACAACTATAGTTTGTAAAAGTTTATAAAAACTAGTTTATAAAAAGTTCAGTTATAACAACATTTATCGGTTTAATTTTACTTAAAATTTAAAAATTTGATATATATAGATTGTATATATATATATATATATATATATATATATATATATATATATATATATATATATATATATATATATATATATATATACATATATATATATATATATATATATATATATATATATATATATATATATATATATATATATATATATATATATATATATATATATATATATATATATATATATATAGTATTTATAAAGAAAACTAACATTATCTATAAATGTAAAAAATTATACAACAAAAGGATTCTGAAAAGGTTTGAATTATTTCTATATTCATTTTTTTTTACTCAAAATTATGTAGAAAAGAACAATTTTTTCCTTTTTTTTTAGGAAATACATTCATACTAAGTAACTTATTATAAGATGTGTTCTATTAGTTTATTGACATCAGATGAATGCAATTTCCAACAAGATGTTATTGAAACTTTAAGCAATGAAGAAAAAATAACTATATCATTATGCTGTAACATTGAGTTATCAAACTTAACAATATTATGTGAAAGGCATACTACAAAATATTTGAAATTGTATCCTATATGGCAGAAAGTATGTTGTGATCCATTCAATAAACATACAAAGAAAATCACAAGTAAATAGATGTAGAATTTAAATATTATATATATATATATTTATATCTAGAATTTAAATAATTTATATATATATTTAGAATTTAAATAATTTATATATATATTTAGAATTTAAATAATTTATATATATATATATATATATATATATATATATATATATATATATATATATACTTTTTTAATTTGTATTTTCTAAAAACATAAACAATGTTTTGAACAATTGTGCAGATAAGCTTTATACAATTCAATTACTTTTAGAAAATCTCATAGTAGTTACAATAAATGAGTCACAAGTCATGATGAGAAGTAGTTTGAATATTGCTCCTGGGAAGAAACTTTGCAAACCTTGTAAGCAAAAGATTGCCATAAAAAAAGATCTTAAAGAAAAGAAACAAAGCCAGGAACAAGATGAGGATTTTCTAATACCATCATTCAAATCAAAAAGACAGGAGATCAATGAAAAACTCAAAAATTTTAATATATCTCCTCTAAAATCTCATTCAAAGTCATCAAAACATATTCTCTCAAAAGGAAAGCGAAAAATTGCGCGCATCAACGAAATGGTAAATAACGTTACTAGAAAAACTGAAAGTCACGTCAATGTTCCATCTTAACTGTGTTATGAAACAAATAACATGAAAAAGAAAGCTAAAAACTTTGATGAAATTATGAGCTTGATAAAAGAAAAAATTCTATGTTCTGACAAAAGGACAATTGTTCAACTTCTAACACTGGCACCCCCAAGTTGGTCGATATTAGAAGTACAAAATAACTTTGCAGTTACAGAATACCAAGCAAAAATGGCTAGACAAATTTTTAATAAAAAAGGATTGTTAGCTATCTCTCCATTGTATAAAGGTAAAGTCTTACACAAAGAAATAGAAGATTCTGTTAAATTGTTTTATGACTCAAGTGATTTATGTAGAACTATGTCTGGAAAAAAAGATTATGTTAGCATTCAAAAGAATATCCATAAACAAAAAAAGCTGCTTTTGTGTAATTTAAAAGAACTATATGTATTATACAAAGAAAACAATCCAGAAATACAAATAAGTTACTCAAAATTTGCTTCACTTAGACCAAAGTGGTGCATTTTGCCAGGTGCAAATGGTACACATTCTGTTTGTGTTTGTTGTTATCACCAAAATGCCATATTGCTAGTAGATGCCTTAAATATTGGACTAAAGTATAAGGATTTACTTTCGAAAACCGTTTGCTCAGTAGAAAACAAAGAATGCATGCTTGCACAGTGTGATAATTGTCCTGATAAAGAAACCCTCACCAAATATATGTATGAGATTTTCGGAGAATACGAAGATGATTTTGAGATACACTACAAGCAATGGCAAACTACTGATCGTGCAACACTATTGAGTTTAATAGCAGATGTTTCAACATTTGTTGAACTATTAGTATCTTGCTTTGAAAAGCTACAAGCTCATTCTTTTATTGCTCACTCTCAATCACAGTACCTTAACCAACTAAAACAAAATATGGATCAATCAAACATTATCATTATTGGCAACTTTGCTGAAAATTATACTTTTGTAGTCCAAGATGAAATACAAAGCTATCATTGGAACACCCAACAATGTTCTTTACATCCATTAGTGATATACTATAAAGATGATAAAGGTGTACTGAAACATATTTCTTATTGTTTTATATCAGACGACATTACACATGATGTAACTTATGTGTACAAAATATTTCAACTAATCATACCAATATTAAAAACAAAATTTTCTAATCTGTCCAAATTACATCTATTTACTGATGGTTGCGCAGGACAGTACAAAAATTGTAAAAGCTTTTACAATCTATGCCAACTAGAGAGCGAATTTTCCCTTAAAGTTGAATAGAATTTTTTTGCCACGTCACACGGAAAGCCACCATGCGATGGGATTGGCGGCACTGTAAAAAGGTTAACAGCACAAGAAAATTTAAAACGACCATACAGAAACCAAATTCTCACATCTGAAGCTATGTATGAATTTTGTATTGAGAAAATCAAGGTTGTTAACTTCATTTACATAAAGGGGATAGACTTACAATTGCAACGTAAGGAGCAAAAAGAAAGGTACACTGGTGTAACAACTCTACCTGGTACTCGTAGCTTTCATCAATTTATACATCTTGGAGATAACAGGGTTGGGGCAAAGAGGTGTAGTACAGACACTAATTATACAATAATTCACAACCTTAAAAAGAAACAAGATATATTTCAACTTGATACTGTCACTTTAGGAGGTTATGTAGCTGTTGTCTATGATGATAAGTGAAGGATCGGCATTGTAACTGAAACTGACCTAGAAGAAGTTGATGTTAAAGTTAAGTTTCTTCACCCAAAAGGTCCATCAATCTGTTTTAACTGGCCTGAAAGATAAGACTACTGTTTTATTCCTTACACCAACATATTGAAAAAACTATCTGTTCCACAAGCTTGCTCTAGTTCCGGTAGAAACTATATGTTTGAAAATGCTGAAATAGAAGAAGTACAAGTAAAATGGGAACAATATTGTGAACTATTACAAACACAGTCAAAATAACTTGCATCTTGAAAATCTTGTATATTTAAATACATTTTTAAATTACGATTAACTTATTTTTATTTTATTTACAAACATTTTTTGGGAATTTTTTGAAAAAGTAATACATCTTAGATATTAAAGTTTTATATGTTTCAGTTTTATATGTTTCAGTTTTTCCAGTTAGATATTTTGTGTCTAGTAAGATTATAAGCAGCTGAATATATTAACAGCAAAAAAAAAAAAAAATTTGACGGGGTGTTTTGAGATATTGGGCCCCAAAGTTGGTTTATAGAAACTTGTTGTTTTATTAACTTTTAAGCTTGTTCCTTTTATATTTCAGCATTTTAAGTACATTTATTGAATTCAGCATCAAAAAAATATTATATATGTTTATTTTTATATTTTTGCCATTTTTATTTCTTATTTTTTAAAGAAAAAGATATTTTTAGAATGTTATGTAAACCGGGTCATTTTGGGAAACCAGGTCAATATTAAAATCGCAGTATCTTGTCAACCGCTCAACATTTTTGGCTGAAATCTTGCATGCAATTTTTTTTTATAATTAGGAATAATGTGTCAAAATATAAAACAAAAAGAAGACACATGGTTCAATGGACTGGGTGATTTGATGTGGAATTACCCTATCATATTATATAACTTTTGTGAAAATGTTTATTGTTTAATTGCTAAAAATGTTTTACACTTAAGTTATTAGTTTTTATTATTTAAAACGAATGAAAAACAAGCGCTTACTCAAAGACTTACTATCTGTAAAAAATTTTTTTTTACCAAAACAGAAAAAAAAAATAGTAAAAAAATAACAATTGACAAATGCAGAATTAGAATTTGATAGCAAAAATACTTTATTTAACATTATATATAGTATATAATTTAATATTATACTGTAATCTTTCCATTTTGCCTTTAAAATTACTTTTGAATTTTTTAATACTTACAAAAGACATTCTACTGCGAACTGATGCTTTTATACTGTCCATATCAACAAATGATAATTCATTCCAGTTTATAACCAATCCTTTCATAAGAATTTTCATTTCATATTTTTTCTTTCTGTTAAAAAATAATAAAAACAAATCTTAAATCTAAATCTCTTGTGAATAATCGATATATACTAAAAATGTCTATAAGAAAGACTCAACAAAAAAAGAAAGTCGCTGCACATTGTGCAGTGACTTTCTGAAAATCATTGTTTGGTTAAATTTTTATTTTTATTTCAGGATGTGTGACACTAGTTTCCAGATATCAGCTTTTATTGAAAATTAAAAATGCTTTTTTACAGTAAACAGGATAAATATCTGACAGGATAAATGTGATTTATGGTTTTAAATCAAAATCACAACTTTTCAGTATTAAAAAATGATTTTAAAAATGAAAATAAAATCCAAATGAACAAATAATTTAAAATCATAAAAACACTGCTGTTGAGATGATGCAATAGTACAATTTATCTGGCAAGCAAGACAGGCCCTGGAATGACAACATAATTATAATAAGAGACACCTATTCATAACTATTGAGTATTGAGCTGGAGTCAGTTATCATTTAATAGGCGGTACCTGCATCAATATGGAGTTATTGATAGGCAAAACTGCTCCTGTTCCTGACCTTTATCTTGTTGAAGTTACTTGTTCAAGTTGTGTGCTAATGTTATCAGAACTAATCAACAGTTTTTGACAAAAAGTTGGGTTAAAATTGTAACACTGCAGCTAGTACTGTTTTCTTAACTCTCTTTTTAGTGATGTTTAAATTAAAAAAATATTTTTTCAAACAATAATTGTCACCTTGCAACTAATCTAGTGTCATAACTTCTAATGTCACAGATTTTAATCAAAAAAATGATTTCATCTTTGGCAAACTTGGGAAGTTGCAGCATATCCACTATTAGACTTTTCAGCAGCCTCAATGCGACAATTTAATGATGCAAGCCTCAATGCTACAATTTACAGTATTCTACAATGATGCAAGCATATTGCATCTTTCTTGATGCATTTTAAAAGCATTTTAACTGCTTTCTTAGAATCCATTGTATAAGATTTTAGCTATGGCAAATACATCTAATATGAGACAGTCGAATGTTGCTAAAAATAGCATTTTAAAATAAAAAGAAGCATTTGTGGCTCCTGATCAATGTTGGTGCAATCAACACATTTGTCAAAACATCTTTTTAATTATTTCGAAACTCATTTTGAAAAACTTGCCTCATGAAATAATGGATTAATAATGATAGTTAGATTTTTATCATCCACGATCTCGTAATATAATTAAAATAAAAAAAAAAAAAACAAATAATAAGATAGAAGCAACATAGACTAGATAAATACCTGACCAGACCAGATAAATACTTAAATAACTAGATAATTAAATTTACATAATTAAACGTTAGCTTTTCAGGTTTTTTGATACAAGTAAAAAAAAGTCTCAAGGTTTAGTAAAAATGATTTAAATTTGAGCTTAAATTTACTACTAGTAATAATAAAAAAAGTCATATTGAGTATTTTATTATTATCATTACTATTATTATTGTTATTATTGTTATTATTGTTGTTAAAAATTTCAAAAATGAAAACATAGTCTATTATTTCTCAATTTTTAGGGTGCTTTCTCAAAATACTTTGGACAGAAAAAAATTAGTAAATATCTGATTCAAATACTTAAAAACTATAACCTTTTTCAAAAAGAATGTAATAAAAAATTCACAACAAATAATAAACTATGAAGTTTTTTAAACTCTAAATATATTAATTCAACCCTTCTCAGTTGTCACTATTTGTCACTGGTTTTATTATTGATGCAATAAATTTACAAGGTATTCAAATTCACAATTATTAATTTATTTATCAACAATAATTGTAATAGTGCCAACATTAATATATATATATATATATATATATATATATATATATATATATATATATATATATATATATATAAATATATATATATATATATATATATATATATATATATATATATATATATAAATAAATATATATATATATATATATATATATAAATATATATATATATATATATATATATATATATATATATATATATATATATATATATATATATATATATATATATATATATATATATATATATATATATATATATATATATATATATATGTATATATATATATATATATATATATATATATATATATATATATATATATATATATATATATATATATATATATGAACACAATACGGGTAAAACCACAGATGTCACATTTTTATCATTTTGAGAAAAATTAAATTTAGTGTTTAGTTACATTAGATATCTGTTTATTAATAATTTATTTAATTAAAACTATATTTTTCTGACATTTTAGTACTTACACAATATAAAAATGCAGTTTTGTGCTAAATACAAGAATTATTTATTCACAGTGTTCTTTTGAAAATAAGACTCATTTTGGACATATGTGTTTTTTCCATTGTAAACTCATCAACTTATAAATTGCGTTAGCTTGTAACCTTTTAGAGCACTTATTTTTTCAAAGGTAGATGGTAACACATTGTAATATACAACTACAACATACTAAGTGCGTGATGGGATTATAAAGCCATCCCCCCCTCCTTTTTTAATAAAAAAGATTCAAACAAAATATTATATGAAAGTTTTATTTAACTTTATACAAAATAGGATTGTAACCTTATCCCTTTCCCAACCTCATCTATTTACCACAGATGATTCCATGATGTCTGTGTTCCATCATTTTTTATAATTTTTTTTTTTTTTTTTCGACAATTACATTTACATTTACATTCACAATTAAAAAGATCAGAATTAGAATATATTTTTGAGTCCATTTTCTACTTTTTTAGGATACAAAAGGTACACCTTATGAATTAAAATAAAAGTTGAAATAATTCAAGGGAAAATTTTTGTCATTATAAAAAAAAACTTATCTTATGTATAAATAAAGTAAGTTTATATATATATATATATATATATATATATATATATATATATATATATATATATATATATATATATATATATATATATATATATATATATATATGTATATATATATACATATATATATATATATATATATATATATAAATATATATAAATATATATATATATATATATATATATATATATATATATATATATATATATATATATATATATATATAAATAATGTTTTTTTTTAATGTTTTTCTATAAAAGTAATGTTGTTTACTTCATCCGAAAAGTTAGTCATGTGACTTACGCTTTTATTATCATTGGTTTAGTTATAAATAACTTGGACAACTGTGTTTTTTACGCAGTAAAAATTGGACAACAGTGATTGTTTCAAAGTTGCCCTTTTTTTAAATGACCATAGAACCTTAAAACTTAGTTTTTTTGTTATGAATTTTTAAATTAAAATAGCTTATTCCTAAAATATTATAAAAATATATAAAACTTGAAATTTTCTAAAAGTGGACATCTGTGGTTTTACCCGTGTGGTCCTCATATATATATAGTGCTCAAAGTGGAAAAAAAAAGTTATATAGAGATTTATAAAAAGGTGATGGGATGGCATCCTGCCTCACTTGGAGCACTGTATATATATATATATATAAAATATATATATATATATATATATATATATATATATATATATATATATATATATATATATATATATATATATAATATTAATAATTAGAGATTAAAGTGCCATTATTTACAACAATCACAATAGTGATGAAGTAATTCAGAAACAAATAAACTATGAATCTGAAAAAGAGTTCATAAAAATTTTAGTCTTTTTTTGAATGTTTCTATAGAAGTTGAGTTTTGCGTGTTCAAAGATAAACCATTCCAAATTCAAGGTGCAGTCATACAAAAAGATTTTGAGCCTAGGGAGGTTTTTTGTTGACAACGTGTAAGTTAGCAACTGTCTAATGATCTTGTATTTTGTTTAGATGTTCGGACTTCTAGGAGTTTAAATAAATATGCAGGAGATTTTGATAATAAAATTTTATATGTGATAACTGATATTTTATAGATTATTCTTTGATGTATTGGTAACTAATGAAGAGATTCCAGCAATATTTCTGATTTTAAATGGAACGGAGAATGGAAAACAATACGAGATAAGAGGCTGTGATCGATTGTATCAAATGCTGAAGATATGTCCAGAGATAGGAGAATAGTGGTCGAACCATCATCAATGTTTAGCAGGATGTCATTGCATATCTTTAAGAGTGCTGTTTTGGTTGAGTGGAAAACATCTAAAACCAGATTGTAGAGGATTGAAGTTGACAGATGATATTACATGTGGATGAAGACGAGATAAAGCAAGCTTTTCAAGAATTTTCAAAATTGTATTGAGATTTGATATGGGGGTAGATTTGTTAGGTCAAATTCTGCTAGTCCTGATTTTTTGGGAATTGGTGTTATTTGAGAAATTTTATATGAGGTTGGGAAAATTTCAGATTTGAATGAGAGGTCAGCAATGTGAGCTATAATTGGACTGAATATTTCTGAACAAGATTTAAGGATGTTTGTTGGAATAATATCAAGTGGCCATGTCTTAGGTTTGAGAGTTTTGATTATTTTCGACACATCTTTAAGTGTGACTGTACCAAATGTTGTTATTATATCTACTAGGGTGGATCGATTTTCATAGCAAAAAAAAAATTTTTTAAATCAATATTCCTGAGACACAAATCGATGTCTATTAATTATAAGATAAAAGTAAAACAATATTTTTTGATTTTGATGAGATCTTAAGGTTCATCTCTGGATTCTAAATCCTTGACGGATCCTAATATTTATGAATTTTTTTTTATTCTCAACTATATCAACCTTGGACTCAAAAAAAGCAGAAAAAAATGCTTGTTTTATCAATAATAATTTTATTAAAAAAAATTTTTAGTGAAAAAAATATTTGCAAAAATATACCTTAAAACCCCTGTTTTGATGAAGACGGAGGGGGGGGGGGGGGGTTTAATAAAAAAAACAACATTATTTTTTTCTCTTTAGTTTTGAATTAAAATAAACATTATATTCAAAATAAGCGTATTATTCTACTTCTTTTGAGTACCAGGTTGATAAAAAATTTCAACAATATTAGGATCCGTCATAAATTTAGAATCTAAAGAGGAACCTCTAAAACTCATTTAAATTTAAAAAAAAAAAAGTAAGGTTCTTTTTTTACCAAAAAACATCGATTCGCAGCTCAGGCAAATCAAATTTCAAAAATTTTGAAAATCGATCCACCCTAATATCTACAGGGGAAGATAACTCTGAGATAAATTTAGATATTGGAGTTTTTGCAAGCCTTTCCTTAATAGTGTTCTTTATAATTTCGAGTTTGCGTATGAAATATTGACTTATTATATCGCATTTTGCTTCTGGTATTGTATTAAAAAATTATATCAAACTGCAGCCTCACGGCATGCAGTTCGATATAATTTTTTATCTGATAAACTAGCAGTTTTTCTATAACAACGCTCCAGTTTACTACGTCTGATTTTTTATTCTTGGCATCTGAAGATAACCATTGATCATCGTGTTTACCAATTCGCATTGAATATTTTCGAATGGGTGCTAAATGATCAAGAACAGTTGTTATACTTGATCTTATTTTGTTCAGCATAATCATCCATATTGTTTTCAGGTGATAAGCAACATGGCATCACTTGCAATTCTTTTATAAAGCATGACAAGTTTAGTTTTCTAAAGTTTGGTTTTGAAAACCAAACAGTTTTAGTACTTGAAGGTTGATGATAAAGTTCTACCCGAAGCATATAGTGATCTGAAATACCCTCGTCAGTTACTTGGATACTCTTGAGTGAAATATCATCATGTCAATTTATTACAAGATCAAGCAAGCTGGCTATATATATATATATATATATATATATATATATATATATATATATATATATATATATATATATATATATATATATATATATATATATATATATATATATATATATATATATATATATATATATATATATATATATATAACTATATCTACTATAGCATATTTATATGCGCAATTGCTCACTTTTTTTGCTAGCCTAAATTAAGTGAGCATTTTTAGAAAACGATGAGGGAAAACGAAGAATCATGAATGAAAATGTTGCTGACCCATACCAAACCCTCAGTCGATGTAGCAGCACTCCACGGCGAGTCAGGCTATTTATACCCAACAAGGCTGCAAGCAACCACTAATTAGTGTTGGAAGTTACTGGAAGAGAAAAGATGAAGATTGGAGAGCAAGATAACGATTGACAGACGACTTAAAAGATTGCAAATTATATGAATCAGGAAAGCATGATGATGTTCGAAGAAAAAAACTAGATGAAGAAGAGTTTTTGGAATACTTAGGAACAGTAACAGAAAAAGGATGAGACTTGATTGAATGACGAGTAACACGAGAATGAATTTTAGTAGATGGCACAAGAGACGCTAGCTCCTTCGAGCAGTGTCCATTATAGTATTTGTAGAAAAGAGAAAGAGAAGCAACATTATGACGATGTGACAGAGAGGTTGAAGGTTGGCTGCAAGAGCAGGTCCAACTATGTTTACAATGCGTTTTTGCACCTTGTCTAAAAGAGAAAGGGCATCATTAGAAGATCCGCCCCAGATATGGCAACAGTATTCCATACAAGGCCGGATTTGAGATTTATAGAGATAGAGAATAGAATAAAGAGTAAGAAAGTGACAAGCTCGATAAAGAGAAGCAACTTTAGCAGATGCTAATTTTGCAACGGATTTGATATAAGGTTTCCAAGAAAGATCAGAAGTAAAAGTTAATCCTAGAAGATGAAGGGTAGGAGACTCATTGAGTACATTACGGTTCATAAATAAAGCAAGGTCTAAATTATTGCGATAACGATTGGCCGAAAAAAATTGAGTTTTATCTGAATTAAAGTTCACCAGCCACTGTGAGCCCCATGCTGTAGCAGAAGTGAGATCCTTTTCAAGCTCAGATGCCCCCTGCAAGCAATCAGAGGGAGTTGGCTTCTTATCGTGATAAGAATAAATGGTAGTATCATCAGCAAACAATGCCACCTGAAGCAGATTGTGTTGGGTTACATGTTACCAGTAGCAGGATAAACCTGACCTGACATCAAACAGATATTTATTTCATTATCATAATAAGTAATATGATTTGTTTTAATGTTTTAAATTATGAAAAAAAAAATGGAGCAGCCATAGCGCAGTGGTTAGAGTTTTTTATAATTTATATAAAAAAGGTACTTGTTTTTATGTCTACATTTAGAAATCAATTCAATTTTTTTGTTTAGTAAATTTTTTAAATCTAAATAAGAAATAGTTTCAAATTTTTCTTCTAAACGTAGTATACATTTTTTGGAAACATTTTTATAACCAGATGCAGTTTTTAGAATAGTCTAGTTTAATTTAAAATCAATATTTTTTTCTTTTAGTTGTTTAATATATTTTGACAGCATTGTGTCTTTAGAGTATTTTTTATGTTTAAAAGATTAATTGGGTTGGCATAACATTTTTCCATTCGCCCTTGGGTAAGCCAATATATAAATGTGTAATTTTGTAAACATAACAGTCAATGAAATAAATCTATAGATAGAAGAGATCTGTGAAATCTATAGATAAAAGTGAAACCTGTGAAATAAAAAAAATAAGTACCTGTATAAATATAATATTGAAACTATTATTAAAAATGCTAGCACTCCAAATCCACAACCAACAACAAGAGCAAGCTTGAACATCACTAAAAACACAACAGTTTTTATGAGCATATATGTATGTGTATATATATATATATATATATATATATATATATATTTAATTATTAGTTTAGTAAACATTAGCTGTTCTCATCTTTTACTGTTAAAATGAAATTTAAAAGCCAAACTCTCATTTTTTATTTTTTAAGTAACAAAATAATTTAGATAAAAAATAAGGCTTCTTTTAATTTTTTAAAGTTAAGGAGTAAAACTCAAATTTACAATTAAGGCTGTCTAAAATTGTTAAAATGCAATTGAAAATACAATTAATAACAATGGGAGAGTGGTTTAAACTTGGCTGATAAAGCAGGTCCAACAACAATTACAATGTGCTTTTGGACCTTATCTGAGAGTGAGAAGATTGTTATTCCTCAATATAGGAATGTTACAATATTACAACAGTTGTTAGCAGAAAATAAAGTTTTTTTGGAGTTAAAATCGCCACAAGTTGGCGAGGTCAGAGTGTTTTTAGTTAGTTAGATAGTTGGAGAGGTCTAAGTTGGAGAAGTTAGAGTGTTTTTTAATGTTTTTAAATATTGTAACCACTTATTTAGCACTTAATTATAGTTTATCAAGGATTGAAGAGAATTCTAAAGATTTGTAAGACTATGATAGAAATGTTGAACCACAAGCCATAGAAAATTAAAATTTGACTTTAGAATTGAAGAATTGACTTTACCATCAAAAGCCAGAGTGGTTTAAATGTATAACAATAAGCTAACCAGTTTGAATGGAATGGCTGGAAGAGTATGGCTATTAGATATAAGAGTTAAATTAGAGGAAAGGTTCTTTGGAAATAACTCTGCTTGTTCTGGGTAAAAATAATAAAATCAGACCCTTGAATTAGAAATGGAATACTTAACTTACTTTAATTTGATGACACTGTTAAAGATTTTCCAAAAGTTTTTGGTAAATCTTTAATAGTGAGATAAGATACAAGATTTAGTAAACTGAGAATAACAAAGCTTAGCATCAGAAAGGAACTTTTTGACACTAACTACTTGCAATAATAAAAAGACATAACAGTGTCAAAAAGAAAAAAACATTTGACAACTATTGAGAACAAACTAATGAGAACAAATTTGTTCTCAATAGAGATGCTCTTGTAAAACCAGACAAAAAATGATTACAGTTTAATATATCAACTGCAAAAGAAGGTGAAAATGGGGAGACGAATGATTGATTCAAAACCAAAAATAAGGAATAGAAACTTCCATACCTGCTTTGATCCAGAAAGTTAGGTAAGAGGTGTATTTATGCATACATAATATGGATATAAACATACATACTACTTTTTTAGATGCTGGCATACAATATCTTTACATATTTGTATAAACTTTAATATTTATATGGTGTAATATTTGCATAAAGAGAAGATGATGATCAGATGGATGTGTGGTGTCTATAACAAGATAAGAAAAAGAGCCATAATCTTAGACAGAGATTGGAAAAAACGTATCAAACAACATTGGTCAGAGAAGAATAAAGTGGTATGGGTATCGACATTTAGAAGTAGCAGCTTCAAGAGAAATGATAGAGGTAGAAGTAAGAGAACTTGAAATGAGTGCATTACATATAGTATGAACAAGCTTTAGTTACGGAAAGAAAACTCTCATATTAGATAAACAGCATAAAAAGAAAAGAATAAAGCTTGATGATGATGATGATGATGTGGATAATGATGATTTTTTATATATGAATATAAATCCATATATATATATATAATATAACATAAATTTTGAATTTAAAAAATATACCTTAGGATGTATTAATTTTTATGCAGCCCCAGGCACAAACCCGGCCTGGGCAATTTTGCATCAAACCTGGCCTCAGTCCTGGCTAAATTTCAATCCCAGTCATTTACTAATACCAAGCAGTTGAGAAAGCGTATTTTCTGATACTAATGAGGTTGCAGGTATGCACACTATCTTGCATTCTAAAACAGCATAATCTTCTACCTACCAGGTTTTGAAAGATTTTTGTCCAAGAGACAAATTAATAAATAATTTAGATTCTGTTTTATGAAAAGGTTAGGTTCTGTTTTATGAAAACAGTGTAAACAAAAGTAATAATACTAATCATTGAGGAATAATAAGTAGATATCTAAATCAGAATTTTTAATGAATTTTTAACTTATCAAATATCATTTGATAATGGTATCTGGGAAGTAACCAATGGGCGGGTACCCGAGTACCTGTTGACAGCCTTATTTACAATCAATCAATTATTTTGTGGTGTTTTTTAATAGCATTTTTCTTTAACTTATTCATAAGAAATGATGTTCTTGTTAATAAAATTATATATTTTATAAAAAATGATTTTTTTTAACCATTTTTCCCTTATCTCAAAGATTACTTAATTTTCAGACAATAACAGATAACATTCTGCATAACAACAGATAACATTCTGTATAATAACAGATAACATTCTACATAATAACATATAACATTATGCATAATAACAGATTACATTATGCATAATAGCAGATTACATGCATAATAAAAAAACATAGCAAATTTAGGTAAACTATTACTAAAATTTGTTTAATAATCAAATTTTATAACAGATAACATTATGCATAATCAACATTTTATCATGCATAATGTTATCTGTTATTATTATGCATAATAACAGATTACATTATGCATAATAAAAGATAACATTATGCATAATAACAAATAACATTAAGCATAATAACAGATAACATTATGCATAATAACAGATAACATTATGCATAATAACAGATAGCATTATGCATAATAACAGATAACATTATGCATAATAACAGATAACATTATGCATAATAACAGATAACATTATGCTTAATAACAGATAACATGCATAATAAAAAAACATAGCAAATTTAGGTAAACTATTACTAAAATTTGTTTAATAATCAAATTTTATTTGTGGTTTTAGTTGAGGTTGCACTGTTGCATGAGCCTTTAAGTATAATCTCTTACCATTTCCTTGTTGTAATGGTCTTAGTACCTCAGTGTTGAAAACCTTAATCATCATTTACAAATTAGTTAATTAGTTATTTATGGTGAAGCTCTGTGGGTGTCCAGGAAATCGTTAACAACCTTCCTGAAACAATTCCAAACAGTTCTAACTTTTCTTTCAGTATTTAGAGAAAAAAGATTTGATTTGAGTATTTTCTTTATCTGAAGTCCAACAAAAAACTCTACTTTTAGATTTGGCCTCAGATAACTTTAGGAAGAATTCTAGAATATACTTAAAAGCAGAAAGCCAGTAATTTTTCTCATTAAAATTTATAAAGCTTTTTCTCCTATTTCTTTTTATTTTACTAGAAGCGAAATTCTTTACATTATTTGTTTCAACAATTTCTTATAAAAATAATAATTAATTGTTAAACTGAATAAATCATTAATTAAAAAAAAAAACTTCCATTGGCTTGGATCCAGAATTTTTAGAATTTTTTTTTCCTTTTAAAATTTAAAGATTTGTAAACTACTTCTACACTAACTTCGTAATAATAGAAATTTATTTTTCCGTAATAATAGAATTTTTTTTTGTAATAATAGAATTTTTTATTTTCTTTTAAAATTTAAAGATTTGTAAACTACTTCTTTATTTTCTATTAACAAAAAAGGATATAACATTTCTGAGTGTATAACATATAAGATGTTTTGAGTTAATTATTTGTAGCAAGTGTTGAGAAAAGTAATATATTATTTTATATTAGAAAAACCAGAAATAAAACAAGAATTAACAATTTGTTTCGTTTTGAGCCAGTTTTTCAATTAAACCAGTTTTGTGATAATTGAGTATATTGCAGTAGCTTAAAAGGTTGTCCATAAAATGTACATAAAGACAATAAAAATACAAAAAGTAAACTTTATGACAACACAATTATGTTATTTCACAAAGTGTTTTTTGCAGTAATTTCAGCATTTCAGTCTTGCAAAATGATTCAATGTATCACAATTGTACACCTGTAAATTGATTAACAATAAACTAGAATTTATTATTGAAAAAAAAGTTGAACACTATCGCAAAAACTTGTTATTTGTTCTAATATTATTTTAGCAGCAAAAATTTCTGGAAAACATTCTATAAAATTTATTATGATGGGCAATTGCATGTGAAAACATTTTTTCATAAAATGCAACCTTTGCCTCAGTCTTTTTGCAAGTCTAAGATTTTGTTTATTTTTACACCACTTAAAAATATTTAGCGCATTTTTTGATTTCAATTATGTTTATTTGTCACAGTTAAATAAATATGAAAATATTCTATAAGTAATAAATTTAAGTTCATTTGACCATCTTATTTATTTCTGTTTTAGGAAAGGCCACAATCCAATTCTTTGTGGTAACTCTAAATTATTTAAAACAACTTCTAATAACATTAAAAAAAAAAAAAAAAAATGAGGCATACATCTGCATTTTTTATAATTCAACTTGCCTGTGGTTAAATTTTGATAAACTAAAGGAATTTCGGATTTGATCTTATAAACTTATCAAGAAAACAGAAACAGCAAGTCAACAACTAAAGGAACAATTTAATAAGGTCAAAACTTTTTCAGTAATATTAATGTCAAGTTACTCCTGGGCGTTTAACACAAGGTGGGGTAGGAATAAAAAAATGGGTGGGAATTTTACTCCAGACCTAATAAATGGAGGAAGAGGTTTTAACAAACAGGTGGGTGGGAAAAATGAGTAAATTTTTTCTAATTTTTTCAGACTGGTTTAGGTCTTTAGAAAATAAAAGTTGAAAAGTTTTGAGTTTCTTTATTCATAAAAGGTAAAACTTAATAAATGAGAAGAAGGAAAGGGTGTCTTAATAAGCTCAGGGTGGGTGGTAAAACTTTCCAAAACTAATAAACATCTATTTCTATGTATTAAGCACCTAAAAGTGCTTAATACATCCTAAATGTAATTATATTGTTTATATGTTTATAATTTAAGTAATTTTGGACCATATTTTCTTTCACTTTTAGAAAAGACCACTCTTCAATTCTTTGTAACAACTTTAACTAAAATATTCAGGACAACAATAAAAAAATCTAGCTACATCAGCATTTTTGTAATTAAACTAGCCCCAGCAGAATTCTGATAAAGTTTCAATTTCAGGTGTTATGTTCATTTTTAAACATTTTAAGTTGTTTTATTGGATTACTTGCCTTGAAATATGTAGGTGTACATATTTCCAGCTTTGCATTGCACACAGAACAGTAACAAAGGCCAAAACAACTTTTTACAATGGCGGATTTTTCTTGGTTCAAGCAAAATTAAAATAGCTATATCTTTAAAACCAGTTGAAACTAGATGATTAAATTTTGGGGATGTTCACAATTTATTAAAATCATTGAGTGGTGTAAAAATCAGCAAAATCCGAGACTAAGAGTTGCATGCCCTAAATGTTTTCACATGGAATCGACCTCTTCTGAAGTAAATGCAGCATCGTCAAATTATGTAAGAAAAAAAAGACAAACTTGAGCTAAAAATACTTGTTTCGATTACATTGTAAACAGAAGCCAAGCAGTCAATGAAGATGTGTATATTTTTAAATGTCATATTAGATTAGAAAAACTAATTAAAAACCATTATAAAAATGACAATGCTGTTTTCTGTCCTGATCTTACTATTATAATCAAAAAATATAGAATTTTTGCCCATAGAGCATAATCCTGCTAATGTGCCAAAATTATATCAAACTAAAGATTTTGTGTCTGAACTTAAAAAATTATAATGAGATAAAAACCGGCAAGATGAAAACCCAGATCAACTAAAATATGAAGTATTCAAAGTTTTCTAGACAAAAACCACAACCAGCTGCTGAAATATTAACAAAAATTAACAGTTTGCATAAAAGTTTGCATTTTTGTTATTATATTTTTTTAAATTAATTAATGGTCATTACTTTTAAATTAATAAAACTGGTTATTCCTTAAAAATTAATAAAACTGGTCATTCCTTTAAAAAGTTTTATGATTTTTAATTTTGTCCAAACTTTAACCAGCACATGTTACGTACACAGCAAAAGTGGATATCTTACATAAGTTATTTACCTTTATGTAAGCTGATCTATTGAGTTGATAGGACATATAATAAATGTTATAAATTAGTCGTTACAAATGTCTTACATTCTTGAGCAACAGGCATAAACAATACAAAATCCAGTAAAAAAATAGATAACTATTACTTATTACAACTTTGTTCATACTGAAGTATGTTTAAACTGATTTTAATGAGCTTTAGATGACATGATTGTCGTCATGTCATCACATTACTTCAAATAAAAACTGCAAAATGTACAAAACTTTTTAATTAAAACAACATCACAAGAAACAGTTTAACAAAAGTATAAAACCTTTTTTAATAACAAGAGTAAAAAACAAAAATTAAATCATTTTTTTCCCTAATTTATTTTTTTAACCATTAATATTCCCATTATTTTCTATAATATAATAAACATTTTTGATTAGTATAACTATGCCATTATTTTATGGTATGAATACAAGTATGCAGCTCTTGTATGCTATACGGATTGGAATTAAGGTAATGTTTGAAAAAAATCTAACCTGAGCAACCTTTGTTATCAAACCCACATTTAGGAATGTCTACAGGAGCAGTAGTATATCCACCAAGAAAATATACTAATTTGTTAAATGAAATTGAAGATTTTATCAAAGGATCATATGAAGCTAAATTGATGATTGTTCCATTATGTACATTATCTATCAAAAACACTGGTATTCTATCACCAAACTCATCAACATCAACAAGTCCTGTTATTCCTAAAATAAAACAAAAGCTATAAAAAAATATATATATATATATATCTAATTCTTTCAGAATTGAATGCATAGTTGTTTATTTGTTCCAAATGACATTGCTATGACAACTATGTAAAAGATCTTTACAATCAAGAGGTTGCTCAATGCTAACAAAAATTTAATTTCAAATTTAATAAAACCTGAAGAATATTTTTTTCTCAAAATAATTCTGTTTTAGTCAGCTCTATATAAATATAAATAATGAAATAAGTAGTCAGTCAACCAGATTAGAAATCTTGGCACCAGACTACCACAATGTCTGCTTATTTAAATGCTGTCTGTTTTTTTTTAAACAAAAAGTAGTATTTTTCATGAAATTACAGAATATTATCTTAATTAAATTACTACATGGTACAAAATCTGGTTTTTTAGTAAAGATACTAATGCTGAATGCTTATAATAAAAATAGTATCAAAATTACTCACTTCAGAAGAAATTTTTTTAGCCATTGTGGCTTTCAGATGAGAGGTGCCTGACTACCTGAGTGTCATGAGTAGTGTGTTTGACAGTTTTTGTAGAGTATTATTGACTTAAGATACTTTGATCTGTTGCTAACTTTTGAAAACTCCTCAGTGCATTTTTACTAATGAATGTGATAAATTAAGAAAATTAAAAAAATTAATGTTAAGCTTTATCAAATATCTATCATTTTGTTTCAGTTTCCATAAAATTTAAATAAAAAATAATGGCAAAGTCCATCAGTAGTATACAAGATACACAGCATAAAACTGATATATGGATAATCGGACAGCCAAAAGCACATCTCCCAGAAAATGAACTTCCTATAACATCTGTTGTTTTAAAAACATTTTTCCACCACCATATTTTGATGAATAAAACAATTCAAGAAAGTCTTAAAACAACTGTTGACAAATAACTCCAAATTTAGAACAGGCCCACATCCCAACATCTTTTCAGCCCAATGTAATTGCTAAGTTGAAGTCTGTATTTGAGGATTACAATTTGCTGAAAAAAACAAATCTAGAGAAACAGAATCACAGAAATCAAGAGAAAAGTTATTTACAGATGGCATCAAGCAACTCTTCGACATCAGACTCTGTTTGCAATGCAAAATTTTGATTAAAATTGAAGAAGATAAGATATTTTTAATAGATCAGAGAAGATCTCCTAAAATGAAGATGGCAGGAGAGAACAAAGAGCTGTCAATGCAACTCTTCAACGGCACACTCTATGTGCAATACAAAATTTTGATTAAAATTGAAAAAGATAAAATATTTTTAATAGATCAGAGAGGATCTCCAAAAGTGAAGATGACAAGAAAGGACTAAGAGCTGTCCATGCTAGAATAAAGAGTAGAAGAGCGAAAGAAATCAGAAAAAGAACAAAGGCAAATCGAGGAGCTAAGAAATCTGCTGCTGCTGAAAAATCTCCATCTAGTTCTTGTCCTGGTGACCCTTTAGAATCAGACAGCAATGATAGTAGTCAAGATGTCGAAAAAAAAAGAAGATATAGATATAAATTTTGAGTTTCCAATTAGCCTCAGAAAACAAGTTTTAACTACTTCAGACGAGTCCAGTTCACCATTGTCATCAATTACACACAAAAGATCCTAGGTTTTGCAAAATATGCTCACTTTGCAAGATGTGTCATCAGCTGTCATCAGGATCGTATAAATTTATTAGATAGAAAGTTTGCAATTTTAGCAGCAGCAATAGGAAAAGCTGATGGTCAAGATCTTAATGAGGGATCACTGTCACACTCAACAATACGTCAAAAATGATCTCATCATCGATCGAGCATTGAAGAGGCTCTCCGGACAAAGATTTGCACAGCTGACAAACCACTATTAGTTGTCCACTGGGATGAAAAACTCATGAAGGATCAAACAAATGCAGCAAATCCAAAAGCATCTGTTGATAGGCTTCCTGTAGTAGTTACTGGTCATGAAGTGGACAAAGTTCTAGGAGTAGCCAAAATATCATCAGGAACAGGGGAAGCACAAGCAAAAGCAACATTTCAACTTCTTAGTCTCTGGGACGTTGTGGATGATGTCATTGGAATGAGTTTTGATGCTACAGCATCCAACACTGGTGCCAAAAATGGTGCATGTGTTCTTATTGAGAAATATATTAGCAAATTCTTGTTATACTTAGCCTGCAGACAT